TATTCCTAATCCAAAACACAACTCCTAGATGCTCAGAACTGTGAAACTCTTTGACATGACATCAAAAGTGGAAAATTCTGTATCTGATCTCATGTGATGAGTCACAACTGAAACACAGGCATACTAAACATACTGTGTAAGACTACCTCCAGGCCTTGTGTATAAGTGAATTTCACGTTTAAACTTGGGCCCGTTAACCAAGATATTTTACTACATAGATGCAAAAATTTCAAAACCTGCAAATATTCAAAATCTGAGACATTTCTAGTCCCAAATATTTCAACTAAGCAATATTTGGTCTGTATTTAGGAAAGATTTAAGTAATTGTTATATCTATATTCCACTGTCAGTTATCACGTGCCATTAATGCATATTTTTCAGAAATTAGAACACCTCAATTTGCATTACAGTATTTCCAAAGTTGTTTTTGTTTTAGGCTAGCTATAGGTAGAAAATTAAAGCACTTATTTGGTATGCATCTGCAACACCAAGGGCTGGACTCTGGACTGATATGTGTCCTCATTTTTAAAAAGTGTCCCAACTCTAACTTCCTCTCAGTCTGTACACAATCTAGAAACCTGGGAGTGTTGACACTGGCAAACAAACATTTCAGAAAAAGATTTTTAAAAACAGAGGAGCTTAAAATTTAAACTGAGGAGCATATTTGTTATCAAGGTAAATTAACGGTTGAAAGTTAATATGCATAAACATGTTTTGACTATTTTTTAACCCCTCATTTAATCTCAGTAACTCCTTTTACTTCAAATAAAGACAAAAGAAACAATAATTCTAAAGCCATATTAATGAATAGTCATGTGATTTATTTTCAAAAAGGTAAAAATTATACATGAACACAACTCTGGCAACAAAATCTTGGCCTGCTCTGTTGCTTAAAGTGAAAATGTCTGCAATTTTCCAAAGAAATTGAATTACTGACTAAATTGAATTTGGGACTAGAAATATCAGTAAGCTAGACTTAATGAAGTACATCAAATTTTTCAGCCTTAGACTAGTTTAAATTTTTAACGATGAAATTAATCATCATTATTAAAGATAATTTCTATTTTTTTTTTAGTAACAGTGTGCTCTGGTATTATTTAGTATGTACTCTGAGCTGATTGACTACCTTACCCCTAGTACTGTGGATAGAAGCTGGGGCCTTGCAATGAACTACATTTTTAGCCCTTGTTTTAATTTTTGAGACAGTATTTAACGAAGTTGCAGGGTTTGGACTCAAACTTGGAATCCTCCTGCCTTAGCCTACTGAATGCTAAGATTACAAACATGTGCTATTGCGCCCAATGCACCTTTTTTTTATTAATGCATATTAGTTACACAGATTAGTGCATTTCATTTTGGCATATTAGTACATGCATGTAACATACTTTCATCATTTCCCCCCATTACCTCCTCATCCTCTTCCGTAAGTTTCTCTGCTACTTTTTCTCTCTTCCTGTATCTCCTTTATCTCCATCTTCCCTACTCATTCTTCATATAAGAGCAAACACTCAGTATGCAGTATTTGACTCTGAATCTTGCTTATTTCACTTAACATAACGGTTTCCCACCCTATTTTTCTGCAGATGGAATGATTCTGTTCTTCTTTTTGGCTAATATTCTACTGTGTGTATATACCACATTTTCTTTTTCAGGTCATCTGTTGATGCAATTCTAGGCTATTCTCATAGTTTAGTGGCTGTGAATCATACTGTAATAAACATGGGTATGCTGGTATCTCTATACCATACTGGTTTTATTCTTTCAGGAATATATCAAAGAGTGGTATAGCTGGATTAAATGTTGCATCTGTTTTTAGGTTTTTGAGGAACCAACTCACTGATTTTTAACAGTGGTTTTATCAGTTTACATTCTCACTGACAATATTGGAAGGCCCTTTTTTCCCCAGTACTTATTAATTTTTATATTCCTGATAGGCATTCTGACTCAGGTGAGATAGAATGTCAGTGTAGTTTTGATTTGCCATTTCCATAATCATTAAAGATGTTAAAAAATTTTATGCACTTAATATCCATCTGTACTACTATTTTGGAGAATTCTTTGTTCAATTCATTTTCTCATTTAGTGATTGGGCTGTTTGTTTCATTTTGGTGTTAAGCACCTTGTAAGTTCTTAATATATTATGGATATTCTCTGCTCAAACAGAAGCTAGTAAAATTTTCTACCATTCTGTAGACTGTCTCTTTACTCTGCTTCCTTTGATGTGCAAAAGCTTTTTAATGTAATGTAATCCCATTTGTTTATTCTGGCTATTGTTTCCTGTGCTATTCCTATTCAGGAAGTCTTGGTATGGGTCAATGATTTCAATTGTTTCCCCTGTGTTTTCTTCTAGGAATTTCAAAATTTCAGATCTTATACCTACGCCTTTGATCTATTTTGAATTTTTATACAGAATGAGAGATAAGGGTCTAGTTTCAATGCTCTGCATATGACTATCATTTTCCCAGCACTATCTGTAAAGAACCTCTCTATTCTCCAATGTATGTTCTTGGCTTCTTTGTCAAGGATCAGATAGCTATAGTTGTGTGAGTTTGTTTCTGTGCTTTACTCTATTCCATAGGTCTATGTATCTATTTTTGTGACAATACCACATTGTTTTTGTTATCAAAACCTTGTAATACCTCCAGCATCATTCTGGTTTGCTCAGGCTTACTTAAACTATTCTATATCTTTTCTGCTTCCTCAGGAATTTTAGGATTGTCTTTTTCTAATTCTGTAGAGAATGTCATTGATGCTTGAAGTACTACAATCAGTCTGCAGATCACTTAAATGAATATAGCCTACTAAAAAATACATTAATTCTAGTGATCTATGAACAAGGAAGCACTATCTTCCAGTGTAATTTTCACTGCAGAGGTCTTTGGTTAGGTCAATTCCTAAGTTTTTGTTCTGCTATGTTTGAGTCTATTTTAAATGTAATTGTTTTCTTGATTTCTTTCTTAGCTGGTTCATTACTGGTATATTTAAAATAGTTACTGATTTTTTTATGTTGATTTTATATCCTCCGACTGCTGAATTTGTTAATCATATTTAAAAGTCATACAGTAAAGTTATTAGGGTCTCTTAAGTTAAGGGTTATATTGTATGCTAAAAGGTAACATTTGATTTATTCCTTTCCTATTATATCCCAGTTATTTATTTGTCTGTGACTGAACCTAGAGCTTTCACACTGAACTACATCCCTAGACTATTTTTTAAATGAAAAAATAAAAATGATGATACAGAATTTCAACACAAAATACTAGATTAACAATGGTTAATATATTGTGTATTGTTAGCTTCAAAGTATTGCTTTATTTTTTTTAAGACGGGGTCTTACTAAATCACCCAGATTGGGCTTGAATTTGCGATCTTCCTGCCTCTGTCCCTAAACACTGTTATTTGATTTGTTTATTTATTTATTTTGAAATAAGGTCTCATGAAGTTACTAACTACCCAGGTTGGGCTCAAACTTATAACCTTCTAACCTCAGCATTGCAAAATGGTGAGATTACAAGCATGTACCTCCATACCTCATTCCTTTTCTTTCATTCTCATGCCTACTATTATAGCAATAACTTCAGATACTATACTGAACAAAAATGATAAGAACAAATATTCTTATTTCATTACTGACTTTTGAGAAAATTGTTTCCATTTTCCCCATCAGTATGGTGCTGCTGGTTTTATTTTTGAAATTACGTTGATTCCATTTGTGAGATTAGTAAGCACATACTTTATGGTATTTTTAAAACAGAAGCTATGTAACAAACAAATAAACATTTATTGGAGTTAGCCAAGTGCAACGCTGTTTCTCTCTTACAACCTAAATCCTAATCCAGATATTATGTCTGAGTTCTAGAGCTATGTATAGCCTTTTCAATAATAATACTGGAAAGGTTACTGACATGTCATTTGAATGCTAACAAAAAGGGAAATTGCTTATGTTGAGAGGACAGAGTCCAACAAAGACAAAGAGCAAGTAACACTGGGGAAAACAGGAACAGCTTCTATCTGACTGAGTCTGTCTCAATAGCCAGTTACTCTCTTAGGCATTCTATGGATTTCATTTTATGTGTCAAGAATTCTGTATGCACTTAAGTCTCAGAATCAAAGGTTATTACTGAAGCGCATGTTCATGAAAATTATAGTAGCACTATTAGTGATAGCAAAGAAAGAGTATGAATTACCAGAACAGCTAAATAAACTGCAATGTTTACACAATCAGATACTATATAGTAACTGGAATACATTATTGCTACATGCTGTAACACAGATGATCTTAAAACACAGTTAAGAGCCAGACTTAAGAATATATATATGTAAGAGTATGATTCCAAAAGTCATCTAAATAGAAATCAAAATAACAATTATCCATGAAACTGAAATGGAAATAAAAATCTCGGAGTACTGGTTTTATTTCTTGATTGAGGGATAGTTGTATAAGTTTTATTCACTTTGCATGTATTCATCAATTTTCATTTCTGTGCTTTAATGATTGTATTACTCTCTGTATTACATTATATTTAAATTTAAATGTTTATCCACATGGGTAAATGTTTTTTGGGGTGTTGAAAATGTTTTAGAACTAGACAGAGTTGTACAATAAACAGAAGTGGTGAAAACAACTCTTGTCTCATTCCTGACTTTAGAGAAAATTGTTTCAAATTTAAACACCACTGAAAAAGTCAGGCATGGTGGCACACACCTGTAATCCCAGCACTTGGGAGGCTGAAGCAGCAGGATTGCTGCAAGTTTGAGGCCAGCCTGGACTATGAAGTAAGTTCAAGGCCTACCTAAACTGCATAGCAAAACTCTGTCTCAAAAAGACAAAAATAAATACACCACTGAAACATACATTTTAAAATGGTTAAGTTTATACTGTATAAGTTCAACTCAATTTTTTAAAAAAACTATCCCAACAATCAATCCTAATAAACAATGTATATTTTTATTGGTAGGTATTCACAACTATAAATACAAAGTTCGAATGCTAAACTTACCAACTGCTGTGTCACCATCTAACAAATTGTCATCTTCAGAAGTCTGAAAGTCCATAATAACACCTGCTCCATCTAAAAGTTCCTCATCACTACTTGCACTTGTTATACTGTTGTAGCTGTTTCGATAGTAGCCTCTATGGAATAGCTGTTCAGACTCCATTTAGCTGTCTGATTATCTGGAAAAAAAGGGGGGAAAATGGTTTTAACATTTTCTCAACATATAAAGATCATCTAATTTAATATCACAAAAGCAAAGTTTTGCTCTTTGCTTTAAAAAAAATACTAAGTTCACTGACTATAACAATAACTACCTTTATTATGTTGTTTGTAAGGTTATTTAATAATTTTCTTCTCATGCAGTTATAAAAAAATAAAAATTTCTTCAACTAATGGTATAAAAAATTCCTACGATAAAGTAAGTTTAAAAAGTAAAGCAGAGAGATGCAGCTATAGTATGCTACAGTTTATGTAGGAATCACCTGCATATAATTGCCTGCATACGTAAGGCCTATGAGAGAATTTCCAAGAAAGTTACTACAGAGAAGGAAGCAAGATGATTGAAGTACCAGGTCTGAAAAGCAGACTGCCCCTTTTTAGTAGTTTTTACCAGGTAAAGTACTAATTTTAACAATTAACACTAATTATTAAAAAATTTTAACTTCTTCATTTATCATTTTAAAATTTAAATTTAAACCCTCAGAGCCCACATGAATTTAAATTTACATCTCAGAGTCCACATTAGCCATGTAAAACATGAAACAGGTTATAATTTTCATTTTTCCAAAGCAGATAAAACCAAATGAGCATGTTTTTATTACTGTTACTCACTAAAAACAAAATTATCCAGAAATAGTGTGATTTTTAAAATATATAAAATACATACACTTACTCGACATCAAAATAAAAATTCAGTACCTGTGTGTTGACATTACAACAGACTTGAAAAGCATGTGTGGTGCAGGACTTGAAAGATAAGCATAAAAGTAGTCAAACAAGTAAGGCTTGTAGAAGACTGATTAGATAAGTCTGAGTGTAACATTACAAAAAAATGAAAGATAAGGAATGAAACTAAGCACACTCCGATTCTAGTGCTGAATTCTAGCAGTGAATTCTAGTACTGAAAGACGAAATTACCGCAAGACAATCTCTCGTGCTCAGTAAATTTTCCTCCTGCATCTGAAAAAATAACTTCAAAGAACCTTCACAATAAAAATGTATATAGTTTAATTACCAGTCACTATCTTCTTTAAAAAGTTTCATTATATAAATTCCTCCAAATTGAAGAATTCTTTCAAATAAGGTAACATTCTGAGAGATCTTGGAGTGTGGTCTAGCCTCCCATATAGCACAATGGCTGTCACAGTGTACGGGCAACAAATGTCAAACTCCTTATTCAATCAGTGAGGTACAATGCCAAATCTGTTTTCAGAAAACATGTTCTGTGCAATAACATGAAACTGGTCTTGTTAGAATATCCAAAAATCAGTACATAAATTACAAAGGAAAACAAATATTTACAGCTCTGCAACTTTATGAATGTCATATAGTTACCTCTACCAAAGATTATTCTAATACACTAAGATTGTCAGTATATTAAAGCAAGTTTTATAGTTATGTTAAAAATCAGAAAACAAACTGGGCATGGTAGCTCCTGCCTGTAATCCCAGCACTCAGGAGGTTGAGGCAGGAGAATTGCTGTGATTTTGAGGCCAGCCTGGGTTACAAAGTGAATTCAAGGCCAGCCTAAACTGCATGGTAAAACTCTGTCTCAAAAAAGATGGAAAAAAAAAATCAGAAAACATGAAAATAACTATTCAATATGATAAGAATTCTGTAGTTCCTCTGAAACAACCCAATTATTTCAACTCTTTATTAGCCAAAAGACTTAATAAAAAGCCAAACATTAATGGTTTAAGAATCATTTTAATTTTGATGTGTCAAAACATGTAAGGTTTGGCAAAGAATACATTCTTTTTTTTCCTTGATACCATGGATGGAACTCATGACTTTGTGTTTGACAGGCAGGCGGGCTTATACTGCTGGGCTATATCCCTAGCCCATTATTCTTGACTTTACATGACGACAAGGGAGGGGCTGTGTAACAACATACCCCAGTCAACATTACAGGCTACACAGAACTGGAAAAGTGCTCTAAAACAAAGTTTTTGTTGTACTTCATCATCATTTAGAAAACCCACATGCTCCTTCACATCCTCCCTCAGAGGCCCTTCAAAACTCCTCCTATGTGATGATGGTAAAGTTAACGTAAACTTCAAAAAATTCACTTCATAACATCTAGATCTTTTACCTTTGTAGTGAGCACTCAACTTGGTTCCAAATAAAGTAATTAAACCTGGGCCTGAATGGTTACCATTTCCATAAATCTGTAAGTTAACAACAACAACAAAGACTCCTCTTCCTAACCCAGAAATCTACACAGCTATCCTGTCTGATGAAGCAGACACTAGCCACACGCTAGTCATCCTTGAAACATGGCTTGAGCAAACTGAGACATCCTCCAAGTGTAAAATATTTACCAGATTTCTAAAACAACACACAAAAAAGGAAGTCAATGTTATTAATAATTTCACATTTGATTACAGATTAAAATAATGTTTGATGTACTAGGTTAAATAAAATATATTTATTAAATTGAAGCTCACCACTTTCTTTTTTCAGTATTGGGAAATGAACCCCAGGACCTTTGGACTGAGCTATATCTCCACCCTTTTTTGTTTTATGAGATAGAGTCTTACTAAATTTTGCCCATATTGGGCCTAAACTCAAAATCTCCGTCTTGACACTTCCAGAATTCTGGGATGACAGGCATGTGCCACTACCTTCACCTCACCATTTTCTTTTTATATTTAGTTACAAAAAAATGAAAATGCATAGGTGGTTTACAGTTGCAGCACACCTTTTCGAACATTCCTATACAACATTTATATTTCCAAGTGCAGAGCTGGGTATGCTGGCACACCAGTAATCCCAGCACTTCGGAGGATGAGGCAGGAGGATCTCTGGGAGTTCAAGGCCAACCTGGGCTACAACCTGAGTTCAAGGGCAACCTGAACTCCACAGCAAAACCTGGTGTCAAAAAAGACCAACAGGGGCTGGGGTTTTAGCTCAGCAGCATAAGCGCCTGCCTTGCAAGCAGGCAGTCGTGAGTTCGATCCCTGGTACCGATAAAAAGGAAAAAGACAAAAAAAAAAAAAAAAAAGACCAACAACAACAAAAAATCTAGGTAAAAACTGGAATATCACCGTTAAATTGTTTTAAATTCTAAATTCAACTCCCAGGTTCAACCGAGGAGGTAGGGGGAGGAAGAAGCTATTAAACCATAAAACAGGTGAAATTCTGCATATTAAAAAATTTTTTAAAAATTCAGCTTTCTTTTTAATTGTAGGAAATATTCTTAAGATCACTTTTTAAATACTATAATAGATGCACAAATATATTCTTGCAAGTATAGAGGCAACAAGTAAAATGCCCAGAGAGGATAAACCCTAGTTTATTGTAATAAATCCTAAATGACCTATGTACAGTCACCTATGTCCCCTCTAATTTGATCTCTATACTGCAGTCATTACTGCTTTTAAAAAACCGTATTAGATCTGATCAGTAATCTCTCCCCATTTCATGGATTAAAATCTTTGAATCATTTCACATTGCCCTTTAGAGACAAGCTCTTTAACACAGCAGGCAAAAAGCCTTATGTTGACTGTGCTACTAATTCTATTAGTTCTATAAACAAAACAATTAACATTCACAGGATTAGATCACTTTTTACATGTATATATCTGGTAATCTGAGTTATTCTTTTGACGATTAACTATGCAAAACAGTTACGTTCCTACCACCTTGTTTTGAGGGTCTATACTGTCATTGTTTTGGGTTCTTTGTTGTTGTTTCTTTTGTTATTTTCTCATAATTTGTTTTATTTTGTTTTTCCCTCTAATACAGAAAAGACAGATGTATGGGCTTATACAACCCTAGAACTTGTCCTAAAGAGTTTACAAGAATTGATTTTATAAAAATTGTTTTTATAAAAAACAAAAGAATTGATTTTATTATGTATGATGATATGAACTGTTACTTAGAAGAAAATAAGATATTATGGTAGCCATTGCTGATTTCCTATCACCTTGTTGTGCTTTTATGCTTTGTTTTGATTGTTTTAATCTGTTTTGTATTATTTCAATATATGTGAAGGTAAGGACAGCTATTTTGAAGAAAACAAGAAACATTATGGTAGCCACGGTTAATTTTCCTACTGTCTAGTTTTGAAGGCCTGTAATGCTTTCATTCTCTTGTTTTGAACTGTTCTATACTACTTTTATTTTGTTTGAATTCATTCTGTGTGAAGATATAGATAACTATTTTGAAGAAAACAAGAGATATTACAGTAGAAACTGTTGATTTCCTGTTGTCTTGTTTTGAAATCCTGGGTTGATTGCATTGTTTTGTTCTGATCTGTGTTGTTCTGTTTTGTTTTATTCTCTTTAAAATGAAAAAAAAAAATTTAAAAAGCCTTGTGCTGCCTGGTCCCTGCCTACTTCCCCAACTTAATTTTTTTATTAAGTTTATTGATACAATTTAGATATATAATGACGACCATATTCATTTTGTAGGGTATACTTCTTACAGTAGTTTAGGTTCATCAATCTTTTCTCAGTCCTCCCAGCCCGGACCTTTGTTCTCTCTCCTGCCTGGAACATACCTCCTCCTTCTCCTCTAACTATTCATTCTTCAGCTCTCACACCAAGAATCCTTTATTTATTTAACAAACTCTTAAAGTTTACTATATGCTACTATACCGTAAAGCACCCTGTAGATTCACTCAATAGTTGTTATTTATGCAATCCTAAAGTTTAGGTGCTATTTTCCCCATTTAACTGATGAGGAACCTGTGACACAAAAAGTTTAAATATCTTGTCCAAAGTCATCTAGCTAGTAAAAAAGCTTCCTTGATGTACTTATTAGTAGGATCAAATCTTTCCTGACTAGTCTATTTTTCTCATAATTAGTTTCTACAGCTCTCCTTTATAGCACTTACTATAATATTACATTCATGGGTTTGTTCAGTTAATGTGTCTGTCTCTCCTAGAATGTGTCATAAATTAAGGTACCACATCAATTTTTCTCAACACTGCATACTCAATAGATAGCACAGCAT